GATTGCAACAGTTTTCTGGGATATTTCGAAGGCACAGGGATTTTATTTCTCACATCTTCATACGAGTAGTCCTTACTTCCCAGCTCCCTTTACATAGAAAACTATTTGCATTTTCAAAAACGACGCAGTCCATCATCAATTAGTATAGATGTCAATTATATAACGTTATGGCGCACCAGGGTGAATAACGGTCGAGGAATTCCTCGACCATGGCTCTCTACTGTGCGAGAGTAGTGCCGAGAGTGAACATCGCGCGGAGAGCACAGACGGCGCGCATGGCGAGTGTGAATGTCCGCGCGGAGAGCGTAACTGATCAGGCAAAAATCCTCGACAAGCCGTTGAGGAATCCTCGACCGATATTCACCTTCGAATATGTCGCCACAGATTCCCCTTTCGCATGCATATGGCTTCAGAAAAGTGCAGAATGCGGTTCATCGACAAGCACTCCTCTTCACGTTATTACTTATATCATCAGCGTTGATATTTTACCGTTCCATCCTTAGCTAATTACATTTAGGACTCGCGTAGACGAGTGATTCTGCTGCGACTGTGCTGCGATTTCTATCAGACGAGGATAGAATCGTCAGTCGCTCTATCACTTTATGAAGACCTAAATAGCTCAGGTACGCCTATCCACTTACGTATACTGTTGTCCTCAGATCAACTCAGGATTTCATGATGTTCTCACCTGCAAGTCGCCTCCATGTCGAGGTCTCTTGGTGCTGACAACAGGCCTCTTTGTGGGTGGAACTGGTTTTTTTGTTGGTTTATGGCCGGATGTCGCAGGATAGCACTGGTCAATCTGAAGCTTTGTAATAAGTATAACATCGCAATGAATTTGATGCACATCAGTTCAGTCTTGAAATGAGTGTAAGTTGGGGTCGGAGATTTTTCCAAAATTGTAGGCCTACTGTTACCAGTGTTGAGTGGTTCTAATTGGATAATGCTGTTTAAATTTACCATCGAAGCTGAGTGGAGGTGAAATGGTGCCCCAGTGGTGCAACTAATAACTCGCCCGGAAAGGAAAGGATCCGAGCACGATTCCCGGCTGTGGCAAAAGGTTTGCCCACCAATCAGATTCTTGTGTTTATTACTGCATGAAAGGAGGACGTTACGATAAATGGGATATGGAGGAAGGGGGTATCGATAGAGCAAGTAACAGCGATCCACCAAACAAGGAGTAGAGACGCGAAAAGCGCGCTCATTTCCGCGTAGGTAACCCCAATCCTGGCCAGCGGCTCCTTCCGTGGTCCGGCTCGCCTCCTCCGCCGCACTTCACTCTACATTTCGAAACGGTAGTTCATGTCAGAAAAGATGTTGTATGTTTGCATGATACAGGCTCTCGATTTTAGCACGTGCAAACAAGCTCGTTGTGGACAAGGCTCGTCCACTGCGGAAATCAAATGGGAAAAAGGGGTGCCATTTGACGGGTCCTAATACCTTTTCTCTCGGAGATTTCTTGACCAGTGCACCCCCTACAGTTCCAGCTCCAAAGGGCAACAATTTTTTGGGCCATCCCCTTTGAGGTGAAAGTGTAGTATGTGGAAAGCAGACCAGAAAGGGCTTATTGCTGTATGGAATAATATGAGCAAGGAATATAAATTCGAAATTTCAGCTTGTGGCAGGACGGCACGATATAAACCTAGAATAAAAATGCCTTCAGATCAGAAATTCATAAGCGAATTTGAACTTGAAGATAGACTAGGATGTCGGTTAGCGATCATCAAGACTAACTCCTCATCTAGTGGAACTGGAAAACTCACTACGAGACCATCATCTTGCTTGATCGTGCTGGCAAAGATTACCACTGGTTGGTTATTGATTTCCATTTCACACTGAAAAAAGAAATTTGTAGTGGAGATATTCACAACATGCACACGTGGCGCACTTTACATTGTAATTGGTATCAGAAGGAAAATTGCCTGAGTTGTGTCATGTTCCATTCACAAGAGGAAATTCAGAAGACGCCAAAAAATAACAGGGGCGAGAAATATACAGGGGGTGGGGGAAGCGAGTAACTCTCCTCCAAAACAGAATTGGCTACCCTTAGCCGGATCCAAACCCAATAAAGGATAAAGGATAAAGCATTTGCCGTTGATCAATCCCTTTTTGGGATGCGGCACGCATTCTACTTCCATTTGTACATTCGCAGTGGCATTTGAATGCGATGTGGCCTATACAATGACTTGCGGGGGCCAGCCGATGTACAAGTCAGTGTTTTTATCCTCCCAGACAAGTCTGGTACCAATTAACCGACCCCGGAGGGATGGAAGGCTTGGTTGGCCCGGGCGACTCACGACCCAGGATTTGATCCCCGGACCGCTCGCGTGGTAAGCGCGCCACTTGTCACTACACCACTTCCGCCCCAAACCCATTAGCCGCACGAAAATCGAAAGGCACATTCTAATTCGAATCCCACATTTTAAATCGAAAAACTGCAGTCTTCTACACCGACGACTCGGAAGATTTTAACACGAAAACATGGTGCAGGGGACGAGCTCAGTTAGGTGGGTCAACGGATCATAACCGTTATGACGTCATCTGAAAGCAGGTCAAAAAGTAATCTTGCATAGTCAGAGCTAGTGTCTCTAAGAAGCTATTCACCAGTTATCCGATTGAAGAAATTATGTAGCAGCTTCAGAATGGAGCGATTATGGTAGGCCTCCTTGAGCTCGACGGTGATGACAGATGACGTCATATTCTGGAGACGGTGAAGGCAGTGAAGGAGGGCCTGCTTCTGCTTTGGGGGACATCTAAGGAATATTTCGCCGTAAAACTTTCATCAACAGCGGCACTCTGTGCGACGAAAAGTTTAATGATGTGCTCCATAGGCATAATGACTTCCCTCCTCTGTAGACAGCTTTCAGAGGCAGTTTTAAAAAAGCTGCTGGCAGCTTTCGATCTCTTCCACGAAGAGTGATTGAAATGCTTGGTGACCAGTAATGGCCGACGAGGGCTAGCCAGAATGAAATACTGCTCAGAGAGTCGGATAATAATTCTGCAGTACCTCTCCTCCACTGAGCGCACAGATTGTGTAGACTGCCATTTCGAATTCGGGTGAGGTGTTGAGCAACATGGAGGTTTCCATAGCTCTCCATTTGTTCCACTCAAATTGCAGTGTCATTTGAACACCCTAAAATCAATTGCACTACAGAAATGTTCGAAAAAGCAAGAATTTGATCAGGTACGATAGCTGATAGAGTGGCTGGCTATAAAAATTTGACAGATTTTGGGAAAATGGGTTTGAGTGAGCTGATCGTTGACAAAAGTAAAGCTCGGCTGCCTAGCGAGGAATCGGACCACAATGAGTGTAGCGCTCCCCAGAATGCCTTCCCTTCCTGCGCTATTTAACAGCGTTCATGTTCAGCCTATCACCCCCACCCTCCCAAGATCCTACACGTTTTTGAAGGGAGATCCGAATTTTTGGAGGTGGACGAAACTTCTCCTGACATTTGCAGACCTACCCCGTCGCCATCCCTTTAAAGGAATCTTGCGCGGAAAAATCATGATTCTATTTCAGCCATAAATCACTGGCTTGAGACTCATTATCCACGATAATAGTGAAAAGAACTGAAGTATTGCTTTCGTTTTGATTAGAAATTCGAAAACTCGAAAAGGCTGCTACGCGTTCGAATTGCCCACGGACGTCTTTCACGAATGCTGGCGACGGGGATGCTCAAACTTGGTTCTTGGAGTGCATTCACTAGAAGCTCTTTCTGGCCTTCTGCTTCGTTGCATTCACATCTTACACTTCTACTCCATCCTATTCTATCGATCGATTTGTCTCTACTCTCCGAAATCGCGCGCTTTAACCCGATTCTCTCAT